GCCCCGCGGCGCGCCGCCCGCCCCCGGGGGCATGGCCACGCCCCCGCCGCCCTGGGCACACCCCAAACGCGCCCCCGGAGGGCACGGCCACGCCCCCGGACACGCCCTCCACTCCCTGGCCACGCCCCTAAGGGCCGCAGTCCCCCAAGTTGTGCTTAAACATTAGGGAGGCTTTTCCTTTACATTTTTGTTTTCTGCTTTTTTTTTTTTTTTCTTCTTTTTCTTTTCCCCCCACAAGTTTATTTACAGGCCACGCGGGGTAATTCTATTGCCAGGATATCCGCAGCTTTCGCTGAGAACTACCTGTCCCCAAGGAATGAGTGGCATTGGGGGGGCAAAGCGACCGTCCTGCCAAGGGATCCTCTAAAACTTCACAATTTAGGGATTTCTGCTGCATTCCCCCCCCTCCTGCCCCCGGGGTGCTGGCAACAGCAAAGCCGATCTGCGGGCTGCTTCGTGTGAAGAAAAGGCTCCCCTCTGGTTTCCACCCGCACCTGCCTGCTGCGCTAGGTGACAGAAAGCGAGCCGCGTGGCTGCGCGCTCCCGCTGAGCTCACAGCTTGCCCCCAAGCAGGAGACGGGTGCTGGAGAAAGGAAGGCAGCCCGGAGGAGCCTGGCTCAACAGGACGTACAACTGTGCTGATTCTTTGCACAAAATACCATTGAGGAGTGGTGATTATTGCCATCAAAGCAGAATACCCAGAATTGGAGCTGGTGACTTAGAAACTTCAGGAGAGGTCAGTGCCTGGACCTCTGCGGTCTTCATCTACGACTGCAATGGCACCAGCCATTACTCAGAGAGTTGGCAGAGCAATGGCTCCTAATTCCATTAGGAAATCCTAATGAATTCTCATGTAATCAAATCCAATCTCCGGATGAGTTCAGTCGGCCGAGGAGGGCGTGTGGCTGGAAACTGCGGCGCATTCAGGCAGCGACACGAAGAAGGGCCTGGAGCCCGGGACCGAGGGCTTTGCCGGCAGGTGAGGCTGGAGCCTCCGGCAGCAATGAATCCCGAGCTCGGAAGGGCCCGAGTCCTTCCCGCAAAGCCGCTGTTTCAGCAGCAATAGCGGCAGGGCGAGGGGGGCACACGGGCCTGTTGGGGCAGCAGCCCCCGGGCGCCAGGCTCAGCCTGGACCGCGCGCTCAAGGCACCTGCACAGGGCGCCCGAGGGAGTGAGGGACGACCACGGACCCAGGGAGAAAAACACTGTGGGAGCTCCCGCTCGCTAAACACCGCTGCGCTCTTTACAGGGACAGAGAACTAGATGCTTAGCCCAATCCCTGCATGATTAAGCACCAGAAAATGGCATGACACTCTTTGTTTTGGCATCAGACAACTTCATTTTCCTCATTTTGAGCCTTACTCTGATCCATCCCTATCTTGTTATTTACAGGAATTACGTGAATTCAGCACTCATGCAAGACACTAAGGTGAAATTTTAAGTCTTTTGTTTACCAAGAACACTTATTTTTTCCTCTTCTGCCTCATTGACTCTTGACTTCTACACACCACCACGTCAGAAATCACGCAATCCTCCCGGGGGGGTAGCAGTTTTTGCAATCCCCCATCATCAGCAGCAGATTAGAGCAGAAACTAATTTCAGCATCTGCCAGGACCATCTAATCTTGCTTATGGTTGGTCTTCATGAGGAGCTAGATGATCAATCAAAAAAGGTTCCAGTTCTTGGAGTGCTACAGACCAGCACTATGAATTCTAGGAGAAAAGAAAGCACTAACAGCGATAACGAGCAATCCCAGGCAATGTGCCAACTTTTCAGTTAACGTCCAAAAAGTCTCCCATTCAAGGTATCCATAATGTTTTCATAGTATTTCAATATAGTAATTAGTGTAGTCCTACTCCTGGACTACAGAGGAGAGAACTAGTCCGTATGTGGAAGGGATGCACAACCTAGGCAGTGAACAAACAGCTTAGGAGCACGTGCAGCGCCAGTAAATGACACCAGCAAAATTCCTCAGAAGTCTGTGGGATTGCAAGTGGGAAGTTGGATTTTATTCAGAAGCAAGCTGTAATTGTTGCGTCTTATCTCGAGGGAATACAGGGACATAAGCCTAATTAATGGAAGTAGAGATGTGCCACAGAAAAGAGTTTTAGGAAAAGAAGCAATGAGAGTGAATGGAAAGGATCTGCCAGAGAACAACCCCAGCTCATTGCATACAAGCTGATTTTTATAACGACAGAATCAGAACCATGTGATTTTAATAATGGAACATTATCCTGGCAGATTATTTCAACCTCTAGAAGAACAGAATTTGGATACCTATTTTTGGCTGTCAATTTAGTAAATAGCATTGAAAATCGGGAAGGAGAAAGTTCATTGCAATTTCTTTGCGCTTTTAATGGAGATTCATTAATGCATGGAGTTAAGCTCATTGCTTCAATATACAAGGAATGTCTGCATTTTTCTGAGACCCAAAAGCAGCAGGAATGACTTGGTTTTTCTAAATAAATTTGTATTCATTTGTTCTCCCACACGCCATTGTTTTCCCAAGTACATCACAGGGCAAAGGGGACTAATGACAGGTAATTGGAACACACGTGGAGTCCCAGCATTGCCATTTTAACACACAATAAGATTTCATGCGGGGACCGTGCCCCGTGCTCCAGGTGCCCCTGCTCGAGCAGGGGGTGGGACGGACGAGCTCTAGAGGCCCCTTCCAACCTCAACCATTCCGTGCTCCTGCGGGCGCAGCCGAGCAGGGCTCCCGCCCAAGCTCCAGCGCAAAGCAGAAGATATTCTCTCCTTTGCTGCGGCCACGTTTCTTGCTGAGGCACCGTCCTCGTCTGCACGGAGCTGAAAGGCTGTTACATATTTTGAGTTAGCGCTATACGGAACGCGTGAACACTGCTTTCAGCACCGCGCAGCCCCAGGGGAGCCGCTCTGCCGCCCGCAGCCGCCAGGGGCAACCCGGGCAGGGGCAGATCCCGCAGGTGGCTCCATGGGCCATGCGGGAACAACTGCCCCGTGGCCACCAAGGGCAACTGCTGCCTCTCCCTGAGGGAGGCCGCTCTGCCTCCCCGTGCAGCCGTTGCCCTCGTGTCTCCACGTGTAGCCGTTGCCCTCGTGTCTCCACGTGTAGCCGTTGCCCTCGTGGCACGCGCGCTCCCCTCCCTGGCCCCGGCCCGTGTCCGTGGGAATGGGGCCGCCTCACCCACCAGGGGCGGGACCCGCTCTTACCTGAGCGGCGTGGCCTCAGCGCGCTGCCACCCCCGCGGGGCCGCCGTCAGCGCGGCTTTCCCCCAAAACGCTGAACTGCGTCATCGCGGCCCCCTTTTTGCCGTGAGAAATCTAAATGACGTCGCAAAGCGGCCCCCGCCCCGCCCCCAACGCGCCGCGCGGCCCCTTTAAAAGTCCGCGCGCCACATGACCACGGAGTCACGTGGCGCCTCCGCCAAGATGGCCGCCTCCACGGGCGGCTGCTGCAGCCTGTTCCTGGCGCTGCTGCCGCTGCTGGGCGCGGGGGAGGCGGCGGCCCCGGCCCCGAGCCCTACCCCGGGCTGTGGCTGCGCCTCGAGCCGGGGCGCCGCGCAGGAGGCGGCGGGAGCGCGGCCCGTGGGGCGCCGGCGGGTGAGCGGGGCCGGGGCACGGGCGCGGCCGGGGGAGCCGTTAACGGTCGCGTGTCCCCGCCCCGCCCGAAGGGAGCTGGCGGCCTCCGTCATCTGCTCTGGACGGACGTATAGAAACGTGGCCCTCCACCTTTAAGTGGAGAAACCCGAAGAAATCCCCACAAACTTCACTATTTAGGTCAAATGAAAAGCAAAACATGATAGAGAACTTGTGTAGAGCACGATGTGCTCCCCTGAGGGGGCTCTAGGCTGTCCTGCCCTCCTTCCCTCTCTCAAAACAGCAATAGGAGTTACTAGAGAGAGGAGCAGGTAGGTTCTAACCATGGGAAAATTACCCAGCGCCTTCCCACGCACCCTCCTGGATTGTTCCGTGAGATCTGATGCGATCTTGTTTCCATATAGGTGTTGCCTAATGGAATTCATTACCAGTTTTGATTAAAACACCTGCAGAAAGTTATGGAAACGTTTTGAAGCTCTGTTTTGCTGTTTTAATTTGAGAAACTATTTTTAATTTGCTGAGCTGAAACAGCTTTTCCTTCGCTTGTTCATCCATCTATATAGATATACATGTGTGTGTGTGTGCGGTTTCCTGAACTGTGTTTATGCAATTTGATTGGCAGACAAATGTGTCTTGTTCTTGCGTGCTAGGCAGATGACAAGGAATTGGACTGTGAGGGTTTCCCTTTCCAGCTGCTCGTCAGTGTTGTGACGCTGGGCAGCTGCGTTAGGGCAAAGGGAGCTCTTGTAATGCGGACAGGGAGATACAAGCTGCAGGGAGGGCTGTAACTCTGACTTGAGTATTGCAAGCTGCACTTAAACTGTGAAGCATTTGAAGAGTGAAAATTAAATAATTTGTATTGCACTTGACTGCTACTTCACTACTACATTTAATGGAAGAATACTTGGCATTTTGCTGTAGAGCTCGCTACAGATTGAAACAGCCTTTTGGATCTGTTATTTCATGCAAGGCAGATGGCGACTTCAATAGAGGATAATAAGCGCTAATTGCTGCTGGATTGTAAGCTCTATTCACATTATAACTTGATTGTGCTGAGCTTAGAAAGCTGTTTTCCCAAGAGGGAAGTGAGGAGAGAAATTAGCCTCTATTTCCTTCACATGACTGTGTTTAATATGCACATTGTTCTATTATTCCACTACATATGTAGGTGTTTGTAGGAGTGTATATGTGTATGTGTGTATATATATATATTTATATAAAAGTTCCTTAACTTCAATACAGCTAAAATACAGTTTTCCTTTTTTTCCTGTTGGGACTTAAACTGTGTTTTTGGAGTAGGGGGAAAGTGAGTTTTTTGTTGCCCAAGAAACTGTCTGAAGCCTTAAAGAGAAAAATACCTTAAATGGTAACAGTCAAAACATCCCTCTGTCACTCAATCCTTATTTCTCAAGCTTGGGGCTCCTGCCAAGGCCAGTCTTGTACTCATGGAACATAATGGATGGGAAAATACATGTTATCTCTAGCACACAGAGCTGCAGGTGCTGGGTCTATCTGACTAGCCTGGCTGCTATTCAAATGCTGCACACGCCTGTTAGTAACTTCACACGGGATTTAAGCTCCTATGCAAACAGATACACTGTGCTCCTCCACAAAGGAGTACTTAATGGTTTCATAATTTGCAGAGCTTCACTGATGGATCAGGCATCCCAAGAGCAGTGAACTGCTGGAATTCTTTATCCAGAAATGACTTAAAAGCACTGCAGATTTTTCTTGACTTCCAGGTGCAGTAGGGAAGCATGTTTCCTCTCGTTAGAGCCCAAATATTGCTCTCAATAAAAGCTTTGAGTTTCTTAATGTAGAAGAAGGTACAAAAGGGATGTTTCCTCGTGGTTTAATATTGTCTGCTGTTTCCTCTGAGCAGGTGGTGCTCAAGGTGTCCAGTTGTGATTTTGCTGAGCTATTTTCATCTGTCAATGAAGTGCTGGTCACAGCGAGAGCACTCCAAAGATGAGGTGGACAAGTGACTGGAGTGTAAAAGACTCCAAATAACCTTATGGGTGTTGCTGTTTGCTCTGCAGATGGTCGCTATTCCAGGAGGGATGTTCACAATGGGCACTGATGAGCCCAAAATACCGCAGGATGGAGAAGGGCCTGCTAGAAGGGTCCACATTAACACTTTCTACATGGATCAGTACGAGGTCAGCAATGAGGACTTTGAGATATTTGTGAATTCAACGGGGTATGTTACAGAGGTAAGGAGGAGGGATATATGGGCTCGTGTTTTGTCTGTGTGGGCAAAAAACCCTGACGTAACACAGGTTTTCATTTTTGCAGGACACTGCGGTATGCTATTTGCTTGGGGTTTACACACTAAGTAGTTTGTAAGCCTAAGCAGTGGGGAAGGCTAAACTGCCTGATTTGTTCACTGGGGGCCTGCAAGGGTGGTAGGATGGACATGTTCTGGTACCCCTAAGTGTGTTGGCACCTGGACTAAACCCTTCCCTGGGACTGCCTGGGTGAAGTTAATAGATGTCTTGAAGATGCCTCCACAGACCTCTGCACCTTCGGGTCCCAGGACATGTTTGTACCAGTACAACTATGTGGCTTCCCTGAAAATAATGGAAGTGTTGCAGCGGGGAGGAGCGGGTTTAAACTGATAGCAGAAGCCCCCAAAGGCTACCTCAGTGCAGCTGCTTGCTGTTAACATGAGTAATAAAAAGCCCTGCTGCTTGAAGAAGATATTATTGCAAGTATAATAATAGTTTGGTGAATGTTTCTGGGAACAATGGACTAAAAGAATATTCTAAGACTTTTCCAAGAAAGAATCCTCATGTGCCTGAAGCTCTGATCATTCCTGACAGTTGGCTGTTCCTACGCAACTTTTCAGAAAACCCTGACAGGCTTTTTAGGCAAATGAAGGCATCAGTAATGATCAGGTCTCAAAGGAGAGACTGTTGAATTCACATGATGACACGATTCTTGTTTGGAAGACAGCATCCCTCTGGTTGGATGAAGGGCTTCTTTATGTGACACCAGTTCGGTTTTTAAGTTAACTCAGTAATTATTTTTAAAAAGTAAATTTTGAATTTGAGCAAGGCAATTTTGTGGCAAACAGCTTCTGGTGCGTGCTGTGTGATGGGGTGTTGGAATGCAGCAGCACATCCTCTGGAGTCTGTTTCAGACACTGCTTAATGGTTCAACTGCTGTAGCTGCATGTTCCTCGTAGACTTTCTCCCACCCTGCTTTGCATGAGACAACCTTTTACACGGAGATTTGGGGAAATAATCTTGAAGTTAAACAGCACTGATTCCACAGGGTGTTTTTGGGATGCAGCCAAGCTTTTTTTTTTGTATAACTAAATACTGTTTTATTGTAGGGAAGCCAATAAAATTAAAATAATTTGCGGAAGCTCTGTGAGTTGCCATCTGTCCAATGACTGTTAAAGGGCAAGGACATCACAGGATATCTGTTCTCAAGTATTATTTCCTTTGAAGAGAACTCGATTATTGTTAGAATTTCCATATCAGTGATGGAATAAAGCTGTAAAAGTGATTGGCTTTTAATAATAATAATCCTTTGATAAGGATGGTTAACTCTTCTCTCTTTTTCCTCTCTCCTCACCAATAGGCAGAAAAATTTGGTGATTCATTTGTGTTTGAGGGCATGCTGAGTGAAGAAGTGAAGTCAGAAATCCACCAGGCAGTAAGTAACACAATGAGGTAAAATGTATCTGTCAAATGCTGAGGTAGAGGCTTAGAAATTCAATAATAATGCCTTGTGATGCCCTCAAAGCCACATACAAAAAAAAAGAGGATTTATGGAGGTGTTTGGCCTAGAATAACAGAATGCCTCAACTGTAGTGCTGCAGGTAAAATAGGATCATCATATCTTCACAAAGAAAATTGAACTGTATTACAGAAAATGTTTTTTCCTTAGTTCTATGATGCACAATTATCTCGACCAGGCTCCCTCTTGAAACCTGAAACAATAATGCTGACTTCCTTTCAGTTAGTTGGGTAATTAAATACTAAGTCTTGGGAGATGCTCTCCTGGGTGCATCAGCCAAGCTGTATAGTATTGACTGTAATGCTAACAGAGTAAGCATTCTGCCAGAGAGCTGGCGTGGAACCCAAAGTGGTCTGAGCAGTTTCTTTATGTTTTTTTTTTTTGCATTTGTTTAGCGTAAACTTCAGGACTAAACCTCTGTGTTTTTTCAGGATTTATTTTTGTCATTTTCTAAGTTATCTACATTCATGGCATCCTTTGTATAGGCAGGGAGAAAGATTCTGTTCTAATAGCTTTAGGTGCTCTGGAGAGTAGTGACTGCCTTTCTTATAGCTTGGCACCACTTCACTTTATGCTGATGCTGTGGACAAACATATGTTCTAAAATACTGTAATATTGTGAAGAAACTAGAAGCTGCTTTTCCTCCTCCTGTCTGCCTGCCCCCTCACCAGCTACGTACCATGAAATCCAACTTTTAGCAGGCAACTCCTGTGTTCAGGAGAACGTGGCAGAATGCAGCATAGAGCCAGAAAGGGAACTATAATGAAGAGGCAGTCTAGTGCCTTGTCTGGCTAACCTTCTGCCTCTCAAAATTGCATCTTCTCCTTGTGGGAAGCATTCTCCGTGAGAGATTGTAAATGGTGAGGGTACTGTACAGACCTTGTTTTTTCTGAGGGTTTCTTTCTGTGGCAGTGCAGTTTATGGATCACAACAGGTAAATGCCCTCCAGTTGCAGGGAAGTTGAAGGGATGCAGTTGCATCCACATTGTCCATGTGGATGTGGCAGGAAAACATAGCCTGGTCAAACTGCTCAGGTACCCCAGCTCTGTAGGTAGGCAGTGCTTATGCATGCTAACTGAAGTAAACACTATCTGTAGACAGCACCAATGCATGTCTATTTGCAAGAAACAAGGTGCCATAAACAACTTGCCCTATATTTTGAAAGCCATCTTGCAAGGACTTCTAGGGTTCTGCAAAGGAAAATCCTTCTGGAGGATCTGCCAACTTATTTATGGTTGGTAACCTGTAGCTTCCTGTTATGTTGACTGAAAGGCTAAAATCTAAAAGTTTAAATTTCAGTAGTGTGTGCTAGGGGGGAGGTGGTGAGAAGAATCTCATGCAGCTCAATTATAAAGAAAATGTGATTTATTTTAGAACTTGGCAACTGCAGTGACTGTTTAAATGTAATCAGAGAAGGTATAAATAGCATGAAATTTTTCATCAAGAGATTTTAATGATGAGCAGTAGCAAAGATTAAAATTAAATGCTTCTGTTCCAACATATACCCTAGTCAACTGAATCTTTTAGCTTGTGATATATGCCTTGAATTGTAACTGTCACCATGAAAAACATCATAGAATATCATGGGTGTGTTTCTGGTACTGAGAACTCCACCAGCGTGGTTGAATAAATGAGTATATTGATCACTTCTATTGCAAGGATATTGATTTTTATCAATATGACTTAGTGGCTCAGGTGTGTTTTGAGGAGGCTCAGGTGAGGAATATAGTGGAAGATCCATATTTCAGTAGCAGTGTTTCATATGCAGTGAAAAACTGGCGGAAGATGGGAATGAACATATTGAACCAAATAATGTTTAACAACCACTAGAAACGGTGAGGTGCCTGTCGGGAGAGTTGCCTGTGGGCTTTGCTCTGTTTGGCTCCCTTGGCTATTGAAGTTCGTAAGCTGAGCAAATTTTATCAAAGGCCCTGAAGAGAAGCAGGCTGATAAAATTGAAGCAGAGGTGGGGCTGGTGAAAGTTAATGAACCCTCTTGGCATGTGGAGCAATTGTTGGAGCTTTGGGTGTGAGTTTCCTGGAGGTGAGGTGGTCTCCTAAATATCCACCGTTGCGGGAATGTAGGCTTGGCAGGAAGCGGTAGGAAGGCGTGTGTAGCCACCCATAGCTCCATTGTTCTGGCTGCCTGGGAACCCAAGGTTCAGCGTGGTCTGCGGTGGCAGCTGGGCACAGTGAAATGCAGCCCCGGAGCAGCTGAGGGTGTTGCTGATAGACCTGGCAGGGAGCGGGGAAGTACGTGCCCAGTGCTGCTGTTCAGCTTGTATGGGTTTTTTTAACATATCCCAAGTCAAAAAGCATGGGAATTGTCTGTGAAATGAGAAACTACTGAGGCGTACTTGCCAGTGAGGGGAATTTAAGAGCTGTTGTGAATACCTGCAAGAGCGTTTGCTTGCTGTGCAGTTAAAATAAGAGGTTAATAGAATAGCACTTATGCTGAGAAAGAAGTACAGCATAAGTCAAAGCTGTTTACTGGAGAGTACTAGGAGAACTTTTACTTTTGGCTTGTGAAAGACAAATGCTGTAGGGAAATCATTTTCTGTTTCTAGACTGGAAATATATGGATATTTTTTCCCCATTGAAAAGGCTACAAGAGTTAAAAACCATGTGAATCTGTACACTTCAGTCTCTCAAAGGCATTTCATTTTTTTTGTCTGAGAATGCAGTGAAGTCATTTCACTGACAAACTAGAGCAAAATATTATTAAGCTGGTGTTTAATAATAACTCAAAGGGGCAGAGTCCTATTGTAATTAACAGTGGAAATATGTGTTTCAAATGAGTCTTGGTGTGGAAGAAGATAGAAGGATGAATTAACATTGAAGCAAGCAATGCTAGGACTGCTGTCCTGCCTGTAAGTTTTTGCAACTGTAAATGTGCAGTCTGCATCCTGACAGCATACAGTAGCTTATCTGCATCTTGTAATATATGGAAGAAGCTGGTTGTTATATAGTTTGCTTGATTTGATTAAAGTACCAACATTATATATGCTGCATAAGCAGAAGTTGAATAGTATTTTAAATGTGAATTTTATTTTCACCATCCTTTTCCCTTGGCTTTTCAGAAGACTTCCAGAGAATCAAATGGAGAGATTTCTCCTTGCAGACTCTAGTGCTTCAGGTGTAGAAGGTACAAAAGCTTTCAGAAAAGTGAATCTGATGGGTTGTTCATCTCTCTATGCTGAGCTCCTACTATCAGCAATACAAGATGTGCAGAGAGCCCCTCTCATTGGGAATTATCTGTAATGTCAGTCCATGTTAACAACAAACTAAAACTCCTAAGCAGAGCATTGCTTACATCTCAAGCTCTATAGGTATCCATGCATGTACTGCTTGCTTGCACTCGTGTTCTTTTTTTTGTTTTAAAAAAAGTGACTAGATTGAGTGCAGATTTAGATGCTAGCTGTAAAGTAATAGACTGGATTACCAATTCCTCAAAAGAAGTATCTTTAGATTCCAAAACTTGCCTAAAATGATTTTTAGTGAATTTTGACATCAAATGTTTCTGCTTACTTTCCTTGGAGGTTTGACATGGTTGTGAAGTGTTTTTCTATTTAACTGGAATTCAGTGACTTTTCCTTATGTGAAAGGTCCCTTAAAAGTAAGGCCCTAGTTTCCACTTAAATCTGGACTCGCTTCTGGCTGACTTCAATGGAATAGGAATGAATATATTTTATCTACCCCCTTTCCTTTTTGTGGTATTGCAATTTCCATGTACTTAAAGATACTGGGACTTAATGAACAGAAGGCAGATAATATTGTTGTTTAACATTAAACAAAGCTTCTTACTGCTCTCATATCTGAGCTAGGGAGGGAGGTGAGAAACCCCTGAGAAAGTAGGTATGAAAAGAGGAGGTTCTGTCACTGCAGCTGTACGGGAGCGGTGACTTTTAATGGCAGCAACAAATAGCATGAGGCTTGTAGTAGCATAGCAAAAGCTGGCACTTCAAAGTGTTAATGTTCTGGAAAAATATTTCCACTGACTACTCATTTTAGCTGTTGTAATGTGCTTAATTACTGATATGGAGATTCTTGACAACTGTTTTGGTTCAGTAAATCTAGAAGGCTTGTTCTCTGGAGTATTTTGTAAGTACAGATATGGTAATGTTTCATACTTCTCGTATGCATAATGAACTATCTGCATATGTAGGTTAGGGGTCCCTTATGAAGCCACCATGACAACCTCGTAACTGGCTGGGAAGGATCTGTCTGCCTCGGGCCCTGCAGCCCTGGTCAGGTTCGTGTTATTTACACTGTAATTTCTCCCTGACTCAGTTACAGCTGTTCCAACTTAAACACAGCGCTGTTGCTAAGGAGATGATGCTCGGCACAGAAACAGGTCGTGCTGGAGCCTTTTCCAGCGTGCGGATGGAAAGGAAGCGCCGGTCTGCAGGAGACTGGCGAAGGTGAACAGGGAGCATGCGTGTGTCCAGGGTCTTTTCCATGACTTTGGAAAGGAGAGTTTGGATTGAGTGGGGCTGCTGTGTGGCCCAGGCTTGCTCAGAACTGCCCCTGCCTCTGTCTGAATGATCCTCTCATCCAGAGCAGGACTTGGAGAAAGGACTGTGATAACGAGCAGCTGAATTGCTGCATTGGGAAGTGTTGGCTCTGAGGACTTGTGTTTTCCCTCTGCACATCTTACCAGTGAGGGCCTCAAGGCTTATTCCCAGGGAAAATGCTTCCTAACTGCTGCCTGCAGCCTATGCATGTGCTGCTTTTGTACCCAAGAGGCTGCTTTTACAAATTATAGAATTACATTACTTAACATAACTAAACTCAAACAGGTTGTAATCTATTAATTTAGTTTCTGAAATTAAATATGTGCATCTTTGACCTTTTCAGCAATGATTCTTGGTGTCAGCTTTTAGTCAGAAAACTTTTAGACAGATTTTCTAAGTTGTTTAAGTTTTCTTATTCCACAGCAACTGTTTTTCTTTCAGATGTCTTCAATTTTATATATATATACACACACATATATCCAGGCATTTTTTTATTTAAAAAATAGCATGAAAATGCTGTACAACTTGAGATTGAAATCTACCACTTTGTTATTTCAAGTTTCTCACTGAACATGAGAAATGGAATTAGATCTGTGATTAGCTAGTCAGTTTATTTTTGGTAACTCCTAATTTTCAAATGATAGATATGCATTAAGTTTGGGGCTAAAGTGAAAATTTCTGTATGTGAATTGTGTGTGTGTTTGCCTCCCCCAACATGACCAGTACAAATGTTTTTTGCATGTTTATGGGCTAGCTCTTTCAAACAATGTTCTTGAACTTATTTTGCAGTGTCTGTAGTGTTGCAGTATAATGCTGCTGCTGAAACCAACTTTGTTAATTTTCCCCACCTTTATTTTACGTGGCTTTAGAAAGGAATTTTCTTCAAGATTATTAGTAAGTCTAAAAATTCTGACCTCACCAGTTAATGGGGGTAATTGAAGTTAGGATATTCCAGCCTAAATTGAGAAGATTGAATGCCTAAAACTTTCAGTTTTATACAATCTGATGGTGGGAGGGCAGGCTTCAGTTCTGCAAATTGCTTCATTTGAGTGGAAAACTTGTAGGCTGAAGTCAACTCTTAATTTTTACAGTCTTATGATAGCATGTTCTCTTTTCTTCACAGTACTAACAGTTTGTGATAAGCAGAACAGTGAGTTCTTAAAAGTTTAATCCTAGAACAGAAAGCTGGTTAATCCGAGTTTGCAGCAGGATCAGACCAAAACAAGCAAAATGAGTGCTGAGATTTTCTGCCTCTGCTGTGTGCTTTGCTCCTAGAACTTCATTGCTTTATGTGCCAAGGCAGTTCAGTGCTCGCAGCTGATGCGTTTGACCAGTTCTGTTACACGTGGTAAGGTATGCTGTAAAGGTTAATCAAACCAAAGCAGATTATGTCCTTAAATTCAGTATTTCCTTCAAGATCTACTGCTCTTTTCAGAAAATGGGTTTCTTGCCAGTTTGTAAAACACATGTTTACAACCGAAGTATGAAAACGCTCTGCATTATGAAAGTAACTAAGCTCATTAGCAGCGGGGAAGGCTATGCTGTATTAAATGTGATGTTGTAATATTGCAGTCTAATTAGCTCTTCTGATAATTGGATTTAGAGCAACTGAAAGCTCTAAAGGCTTCTGAGAAGTTTTTGAAAAGACTATAAATTTCAGATACATGATTGGTTTTTCCTTTGGAAATTGCAATTAATTGAAGGTTGAATGTAATCTGTCACTGTTATCTTGTCCAAGCACTATATGTATAACTTGTCCGAAGATCTGGGTGTTCCACAAAACCTGGCAGCCATTTGGTGTTCAGTTCAGCAGAGCCAGAAACAGAAGACATGCACACATAGTGCTCTCATGTGGAGAGACTATATTTTTCTTAGTTTAAAATAAACCGTTCTGATTGAAAGCATCTGTGTATTTTCTTCTCATGGAGCAAGCATAACAAAAAATGTTTTCCAAAATTAGTCTTCTAAAGTATAAGCCTTAGCAGTCTCTTGTAAAGATTTTTCTTTTTTCCTCTGAACTAACCTTTTAATTTAGAAGTGTGATGTGCTGAGTAACTATTGGAATGAGATCTTATTGTTCTTTCAGGTTCCTGGAGAACCCTTAATAATAATACTGTGGCTCCTGTATTTTCTGCAGTTCTCAAATTTAGCTTTGGATTTCTCTCTCATCTTAACTATAGATTAAAGATTAAAGCTCAAAATACACAAGGAACTGGTTAAATCTGACTATTTTAAACCTATTAACTCTAGTATCTGTTTAGCAGCTTGGTCATTTTGAGGCTTATAGGTTGGTGCTGTGAGTTGAGCTGGGTAGCTTTCTGAATGGGAGTCGCATCGCTGAGGTCGGAATGATCGGAAACAGAACTGTAATTTAGACTTAAGAGATCAACCTGTTGGTGTTGGAAGGGGAGGGTGTTTGTGGTGGGAATGCTGATGGTTTTAGTAGCTACTGAGATAGAATCCTGTGTTTGATGCTGATGCCGTTGATCTGTGCCCTTGTCATGGTAGGGTGATCAGATCGCAGGTTCTTTGAGGAATGCTATTTCTCTACTGTGACAAGTGTGAGTAGAGTAACCACCTTGGCATAATTTCTACCTTTGAATATAATGCATCAAAACTGATTTAACAGGACCAGAATGAATAAAAATTGCTACATTACTTGCTGCTTTTGCTAGCTCTTGGTTTGAATGAGGAAGGCTGATGGACAGAAGGTTGTGCCACAGTTCAGTAGTAGTCCGAGTACTCAGACTGTACTGAGCACAGGTCTGGAGTAGTTTGGTCTCCTAAGACCAGTGCTAGTGATCCAGCAGTTTTAGAGAATCACAGAATGGTTGAGGTTGGGAGGAACCTCTAGAGACCATCTAGTCCAACCCTCCTGCTCCATCAGGGACACCCAGAGCACAGGGCATCCTGTTGCATCCAGGTGGGTTTGGAAGATCTCCAGAGAAGGAGACTCCACAACCTCCCTGGGCAGCCTGTTCCAGGACTGTCACCTTCACAGGAAGAAAATCCTTGCTCATATGGAGATGGAACTAATTGTATTTCAACTTGCATTACCCCTTGTCCTGTTGCTAGCCACTGCCAAGAAGAGTTTGACACCATCCTCTTTACATTCTCCCCTCAGGTATTTGTACCCAGTTGTTGATAGGATCCCCTCTCAGTCTTCTCTTCTCCAGGCTATAAACAGGCCTATCTTGCTTAGTCTTTTCTTGTAAGAGAGATGTTCAAGTCCCCCGATCACCTTTTCCTTCACATGCCTAGAGATGGTCTCTAGGATGAGCAGCTTCATCACCTTTCCAGGGATGGAGGTGAGGCTGACCGACCTGTAGTTTTCTGGGTCATCTCTCCTCTTTTTTGAAGACTGGAGTGACATTGGTTTCTTCTAGTCCTCTGGCATCTTCCCTGCTCTCCATGACCTCTCGAAGATGATGGAGAGCGGCTGGGCAACAACCCCCACTAGTTCCCTCAGCAATCTTGGGTGCATCCCATCCAGGCCCATAGATTTATGGATGTCTGCGGGAACCTCCTAGTCAGTTCCTAGCTGTTTGGCCATCCCGGCAGACATCAGGGTGGTTCAATCCTGTAAGGACCAAGGGCTATGATCATGAGGCTTCTTGCAGCTGCCTGTAGAAGTCTCATCTACTTTATCTTCCTGGTCAGGAGGCCTGTAGTAAACACCAACCCTGTGTTGCCCCTGCTGGCTGCCCTTTAATTGTCACCTGCAGTCTCTTGACTCTTGCTTTGTCCTCCCCTAGGCGGAGCTCCAGACATTCCAGTTTAACTCCTGAAGCGTTGGGGCCTTACCTACCTTAACTTTTTTTTTAATTTTAATTGGTTCAGACCTCTTCAGAAGTTCCATGTTTCTGTGGCTCTTTTGTCTCCACCTTCTGGAAGCTGATAGGAAATACCTACTGAGCTAATTAATGAGGAAGCAAAATATGTTGCAAGGTGCATGTTTTGACCCTAATTATAGGATGACATTGCTTAAATTATTCCGAAGGGCTGGCTCTAGGAAGCAAACAAGTGAAATAAATTCTTTAAACCAAAGGTGTCTTTATCTTTTCTGCAACACATGTCAGACCAAAAACTGGTCGGAAGGTGAACAGTAGTTTTAACTGTACCATACACATAAAGTTGTAAAAGGCTTCAATGATGTTCCAGGTTCCTATGAGTGTACTTGGTACAGGTGTCCAGAGAAGGATTAGAGCTGAATTTCTCAGACAGCAGTCTAGTTGGTCTTGAGTAAAGTGCTGAAGGCTGAAAGTAAGGTTACTGAAGTGCTGAAGTAAAGTGCTGTGCCTTCAAAGAGGATGGACAGTGGCTTGCTGTGTCCTTACCTTGCAGCATGGGAATATCTAGGCGGAAAGAACTGACATCCACAGAAGATCAGTACTTCAGAAAAGCAGGCACAGAGCTCTGATCCTTTCTTGCTTGTTTTAGGTGGTTTAGGGATGTGTGTGTTGGTTTTCGTTTCGTGTGGAGTTTATTTTTTGGTTTTGTTTGTTTGCTTTGTGTTACTACATACCTTTGACTCTTTCCTGACTGGAAGTATTGCAGTGTGGAGCAAATAACCATCTTGGTCAGAGATAAGTTAGCAAGTAATAGGTCAGTTGACTGCGGGCAGAATCCTGAGCTGTGAGTTTAAGCTGTGTTTTCATTTGTCACATGATTGTTCTTCAGAGTGATCTTTAACTGTGTGTTTGAAGGACAACCTTTCCTGACTGCTCTTGACCATTTTCAGGTTGCAGCTGCTCCCTGGTGGCTACCTGTGAAAGGAGCCAATTGGAGACACCCGGAAGGGCCTGACTCTAACATCTTAAAGAGGTAAGTCAGAAATAGCCACTCAATTTTAATACGAAGTGCTTTTGCTGTAAATATACCTGCAAACTTGCCCCAGAAATTGAGGTTGAAGAACTGTTTCTTGACTGGTCATCTGTTTGCTTTTTCTGCTTCTGTGACCATTTGCACTTTCTATGGTCTGTTGCATACAATATTCAGTGTTTATATGGTCAATATATGTCATGCTGGTATTGCAAATATATTTGTAAATGTCTACTAGTGGAAGGAAAAGAGACTGTATTGAAACACGCTTCATGTTTTTGCTTCAATGCTTATACACAAACGTGAAGAGAATAGAAGATGCTTTGAGGGTTAGTAACTTTAGAGCATTCATTGCAGATCTAGTTTTGTAGAGAAGACTGAACACTAGCTTCCTGCGTAGTCTGTGAGTCTACCCACCATGTGTCCTACTGCCTGGAATTTGGAGGCCTCCCTCTGGTGGCAGGACAATGTTGAAAAGCTTGTATGTTAAGTCATCCATGGAGTTGGAAAATATTGTGTGAAATGAGTGCTGGCTTTGCTAGGAAGCTGAATGCATTGGAAGACTTCAACCTACAAATAAGTTAGTGCCTTCCCTACCATGGTCAACTTTGAAACCTGCTGCCCTACATCTTTATACGGTCTCTTTCAGTTCAGAGCTGGGATGAATTTCCCAGAGCCTGGGAAATTAGAAGACTTCTACTTGAGTTCTGTTTGTTGATGCTGCAGAACTAGCCCTTGGCTGCACATGTTGAAAGCTGCATTTGCAGATTCCTGTGCTATTGCATGCATGCCTCGATGTGACTGTGCTTGCTTGGGACCCTTTTTTGTTTCAACTTGTTTCACTATCCTGACAATGAAGTTGACACTAACTACTTAATCAACTAGTTAAAGTTTCAACACTGCTGCTGGAAATAGACTTTCTGGCCTGGATCTAGGCTAGATGTTGACATGTTTTTGAGTCCCCTAGGGACAGGGCTACGTTAGAATAACATCATCTGATAGCTAAACTGCTTAGTAACAAGTCCAGTGTCTGTTCTCCAAGGGCAATGAAAGAACTATCTGAAGTAAAAATAGAGAGAGATGATATCGGGAGGTGTTGTAAGGGGAGATGGAGGAATTTAGGTCACAGTCAGCAGATAAGGGCTGGAAACCTGCCATGTAAATCCTGCGTTGTAAAAGTGCACTAGTCCAGTACAACTGCGGGTGAACTCCGTGCATGGAAGCAGCCTGATGAACCAACAGGCATAGGCTGACTTGTTAGAGGAGGCAGGGAAGATGAGTAAATAGGAAGCATCAGCTGTTGGAGGATCTCACTCCTAGAGGCTCAGCTGGGGAGGAACCTTCTTACAAGAATGACTAGACACCGTTTTCGTCTTTTTCTGGGATGAGAGGCCAAGATTGTAAGTTTGAGAACTAAACCAAAGGAAGATAGAAGCCTTTCTTCAAACTGTGAACTACTTAAAATGCACAAAGGAGAAAAAAATTAAGTCAAGAATCTTAGTTAAGACACTTGGATAAGACACTGTAATACTGAAGGATTTTTTGGCCTGCTCTCTTGGTGTCTGGAGTGGCTATGTTTTCACAGAAACCAGTGGATCAGTACTTCATTGGCTCCTGGGTTTTCAGCAAGTTTCTGAGGTGGGAACATGGGAAAGCACAAGCCAGAAACACTGTTCCAGTTACTGTAGAGAGCAATACATAAAAAGATGGTGGGACAACTTTTTCTTCATTTTCCTTCCTCTGATAGCATTTTTTTCCCCATTCACCATTTAGATCTCTTCTAGGGGTTTGTTTGTCTTACTGACTTACCTGGTACCTTGTCCAATTGTAACTGATACAACAAGGCTTCCTCACAGTCCTTTGTGACCACCGATTTTAAGTGCTTTGCTGCGGAGTTATGAGACTGCTTGGGTTGGCTGATTTGTTCTTTTTTTCCCCTTTTTTCCAGAATGGATCACCCAGTTCTTCATGTTTCTTGGAATGATGCTCTAGCTTTTTGCACTTGGGCAGGAAAACGGTTACCGACTGAGGCTGAATGGGAATACAGCTGTCGAGGGGGCCTTGAGAATAGGTACTGATGAGAATATCTAGCTGATTAAATGCCTAAAAGATAGGGAAGAGCTATGGCTATTATGCTCCATATTTTTTTGTGCAACGTGTATAAATAAAACTCATACTTAATCTGAACAGATGATTTTAGGTAAGTGAATTTCTTAAATACTGAAGTAGACTATAATCTAAACTCAGTGATGGGAAGAGAATACAGAGCGCAAGGGGATGTGGTATGTTAGAGCTGCTGTTGTACATGAGAGATGTGGCATGAGGACTTAGTGCCAAGGCAGAGGGAGATGCAGAAGAGCTGAGGACTGGTGGCATCGTTACTGGACTGCAGCTGAAGAGTCGCTGGAGGTGCCTGTTATGTGGCCCACGTAGGAGGGGAAGACAAGGCTGATGAACAGTTTTATGATCTCTCCTCCTTACAGCCTGGGTCACATACTGTGCTAGGTGTGGTTGAGGATGTAGGCTCTTCCCTGCTTTTCCCTCCTCCATATAGCAATTTTCCTTTTGCTCTCTATTAAAGCCCACTAGGTGTTGGTACAGCTGGAACACAGACTGTGCATATTCTATATGTAGAGATCCCTAGAGTAAGTATTCTTTATGAAGCTTGCTTTTCAGTATTTTTAGGCCATGATTTTGACAGTTTTTCTCCCATATGTTTTTCAACAGGCTTTTCCCGTGGGGTAACAAGCTTCAGCCGAAAGGTCAGCATTATGTCAACATCTGGCAGGGAGTGTTCCCAACCAACAACACTGCTGAGGATGGATATAAAGGAACTGCACCTGTGAGTGTCTCCAAGTGAATTAATGATACAGCGACTATCTTTAGCCTTCTGAAAATTTAGGTCTGTGCTTAACACAGAAAGCCACGGGTGTTCTCTATTACTGTATTCTTCTTTCACTTTTAGGTATTCAAGCCATGATATATTTCACTGCAGGCTTAGATAGTGTCAGGGGATTTTTTAAAAGCTAATTGAAAAGTAAAGATTATTTTCATTTTAACTTTTAGTTTTTCTCACTGGCCTCTTTTTCTTACCACCACCTGACCCTCTTTCAGTTCTAAGTCAGGTCCTGAAATACTTTCTGCTTCCACTTCTGGCACTGCTGTTTTTTTAACCCTCACTCTAGGTGGTGGTACTTAAGCCACAATAACTGTATAATAGTTCTGAAAAATGAATCAGCTTTTTGGAAGACTGAGTCTGTCTAGCATGGAGAAAAGGCAGTGGAATTTTGAAGATAATCAAGGATGTTAATGGATTATTAAATATGAGTTAAAATAAATCTAAAGTTTCCTCAGCATGGAAATCTATATATATATGTCTTTGAGTCTTCCTTTGGGAGGGGAGGAGAGAGCGATAGGGGAATCTGGAAGTTGTAAGAACACAGGTTAGAAAATCACTTATCTGTGGTGATGTATCTGTTAAGTCATGGCACCTCTTTAGAGGAGCAATTTGCAAAGCCAATGAGAAGATACTATGTGAAATAATGGGGGTATGGTGCTGAGACCACAGAGAAGGATAACAGTGTTCCATTTTCTTAAAATGGAATATGTCCATGTGTTTATAGTTCCAGACCAGTGTCTGTTTTTTGAGATATGGTGTGTCTGATAAGCTGCTGAAGGAACACTGTTCTTTAATCTTTGGGATAAAAAACTTATTTTATCTTTTGTTTAAAGAACTGGTCCTTAGAGTCTCTGTACCCTGTGTAGGTCACTGCGTTTCCTCCCAATGGATATGGCTTGTACAACATTGTAGGAAATGCCTGGGAATGGACATCGGACTGGTGGGTTATTCATCATTCAGCAGATGAAGCTCGCAATCCTGTAAGTACTTCAACCTCACATGAGGTATGGGACTCCCTACTCTGGTCTGATTCTTCTTTAGGAGCCTCGTGCTCTTTGCTGCTCTGTGCTGCGTTGTGTGGGATGGGCTCTGAGCTCCGGAGCTGGGAGGTGCTGCACTCTGCTGCAGTACAACTGCACCTCGTGGTCTCCATAACTGCCTAGGACGTGTATGCTTACCAACTGGAATTGGATTAAATAACTTCAAAATTGCCAGGATGTTAGAATGATTTTTTTAATTAAACATTTCCTACATAATGTGCATGTGTGCATATATATATGCATATAGTGAGTGTGTGTATATATAAAATCTTATATAAATAAGTATATAGCTGTGTTGCTACAAACTTTCCCTTTTCCTTAGAAAACCACCCAGAACTGCCTTTAATCACCCTGAATTAGCTTTATGACTTGTACTAGCTCATTTAAAATTCAACATGTAATAAAGCTGAAGCTTATGGAAGAAGTAGCTTACCAGCCCTTGAAAGGTTAATCCAAGTCTTTCCTTTTCTTTGTGGTTTGGGTCTAGTGTCTAATGGCTGGAGAAAGAAGCCCAGCTGGATAAGCAATGTGTATGGGGTTGCTCATGCAGTATGTCTCAGCAGATTCAGCTTCTAATATTGTATCTTCTCTCACACTTATGCAGTACAACTGGACGTGAAAAATGAACTATGCTGCTCTTACAGAGCTTATTCTGCTCAGACATATTTCTCTGTAATGAGAGAACCAGTTAAACCTCCTGGGGCAAAAACTACCTGTTTGCTGCAGAATTTGAATATCCCTGTGCTGAGCTCTTATCTGCTGTCTTTGCTTGGATGCCTGACATAATTGCAACCCTTTCTCGGAAGACAGCAATCGTGAGCAGCTTGAACTTGTTACATTTTCCCTTTTCCTTGCTCTTTGGTACATTTGCAAAGCTTGAAACTCTACTGCTTTTTTAGGAGAATGTTGCCAGCATGAGAAACATTTCATCTTGGGATGCAGATCTCAGTAGATCTGTCTTAGCAGTTTGACCACATTGATGGAAACATCTGAAGACATTCAAATGATTTGGAAGCATACAAACATGCAACAACTCTGCTTCCATTTCACTTCCTGCTTTATGCAGCTAAGGGCCCATGTCTTTGCATCTTATGGATGGAGATAAAGCTTTTCTAAATGTCTTGAATAATGAGCAGTAGGGAAATTTGGATGTGTGTGAAGAAAAATAGAACTAGTGAACTTTTGTGTGTCAGAATAGCTGAGTAACAGCACTTGCTTGCTGCCTGATGTGTCAGGGGAGGAAGAGGAGAGAGCAAGAGAGCAAGGGTTTCACAGAATGGTTAAGGTTGGAAGGGACCTTGAGAGATCATCAAGTTGAAGCCCCTGCTGGAGCAGGGACACTTGAGCAGGTGGCACAGAGTGGCATCCAAGTGAGTTTGGAAGATCTCCAGAGAAGGAGACTCCACAGCCTCCCTGGGCAGCCTGTTCCAGGGCTCTGTTACCTTCACAGGAAAGAAGTTTTCCCTCAGTGCTCTACATGTATCATCATTGAAGCTTCACCACAGTGCTTGGAACTCAAGCAAAATGGTTGTTGTGGTAGCTTTAGGGAAAAGAACCCTATTGGTGCTAGTTCATCTTCTTTTAAAAAAGATATTTTGCTCTTTAGGTTGTTTGGCCTTTTCAAATTTCCAAAATACTTCCAAAAGGCTTTAGCAATGAGCTGTTAGCAGTAAAGTGTTTAGGTTTTGAATTTGGAAATAAAAGGTTAGAACCTAGTGTCTGAGGTAGAGCACTTTGAAGTGAATTCTAAAGAGTTCCTTTGATTAAATGGATGAGGAAACTGAATCTCATAATGTGAGAAAGGTCTCTCAAAATAGCCTGGCTGCATTATATTCTGAGACATTAAAGACTAGCACCATATCTATGAGGATCCAATCTCTCAAATCTCTCCAGAGTTACAAGTCAACATTCCATCTGTATAGGGTGTATTCTTTCTGCCTAAAACACTAGGATTTCTTCTAGAGGGTCAGAGCTCAGTGAAAGCCTCTAACATTTTGTTCGATACTTGAAAACCTTCAAGTAGCTTCCTGGTACTGGAGGGGTTTCAGGATGTGGAAGGAGTGCATGGAATCTTGCATACAGAGTCGTCTTCTCTATAACTGTTTGGGCTTGTGCTTAGAGATAATTGCCAAAAGCAAAAATAAACTGGGACATATGGAAGTATTTTGCAAGCTCTTTAGGCTATTAGGCTAAATTGTGTCCTAACAATGAAAGAAAAAACAATGTTCTTTTGTTCTCTGCTGGGGTAGAACCTGTATGGGTAAGTACTGAAGCTAGAAATCTGTATTTGGTGGGCTTTAAAATAATCTTTGGACATTCTCCGAGTGTTAAGTGATGTTTATTTATCAACTAGAACACAGGGACTGGGACTTCCATTTGATTACCCTCCTTGGGGAAAAAAGCCTGTAACACTTCTGTAGTGTAGTAGGATACTTAAATAGCAGTCTTGTGTATCAGAAATCCAGAACAGACACTAGAATAAGCCACATATGAAGACACTTATCTATGGAAAAATCCATTGTATATATGGAAATAGAAGTTATTTCCGTGATAGATGAGAAGCATTTCAAATGGAATGCTATTGTCTCAGTTGTGGCCTGTTCTTCTAACTTCCCCTTGCCTTTGAGCGTAGTCTGTTAAATATTCTTTATATTTATGAGCTGCTAAAAGCCTTTCCAAGCAGAACGTTCTGTAGTGCCTTTAGATTTGTAGTATCCAACTGTGTTTGCCTAAGCTGTAACATGTAATGCCTGTTTTCCTGTCCTCGAGTTCAGTTGTGTGTTCCGGGGGTCCCTTCTTGAAGGCTTCTTTGCTCGAGTGACAGGAAACCCAGGAGCAGTCTCGTTCTGTGGCATTCTGCTTGTGCTCCTCGCAGCTGGGCAGGGAGCACTGGGCTGTGCAGAGACAGACCCACACGAAGGCTGCATCGGGCTTTCTGGCACCATCAGACTCGGAGCAGAGGCATCTCCAAATACCGCCTCAAAATGTAAAGCTGATCCTTCAGCTCCTGCAGTACCTCCCAGCAGGTCAGAAAAGCAGAACTGTTGTAGCCGGAAATAAGTGGTTCAATGTTGACTTTTCTCACAAGTCAGAAAAATACCGTATCCTAGGACAGATTTGCAAAAAAAAAAAAAAAAAAAAATTCTTTGATTTTGTAGGCATTATTTTGTGTATAAGTGTAGAACTGAGAAGCATCATTTTTTTTGTAATTGATTATTTGGCAGATGGGAACAGTGTATATGTTCTGTGGATGCAAAAAGTCATGATGCAAGTGCGGAAAGCATGATTTTATCTTAATGTAACAAATGTTACTTTCCTTCTGAAAAAAGCTATGTATTTTAATAATTACATATGTGTAATTATATAAGTAATTATATGTTATATAAATTATATATCATAGTGTATATTATAGTATATAAATAAATCCTGTTTATAAAGTTCAATAGATAGTTATATTGACAAACAACTGTGATTATGAATCCAGGCCAGAATATATCTGTTGCAATACTGTACTACAAAATTAACTTGCTACTATACCATGAACCCAGTTCTGTAAATCTGGTATCAGTCTGGACAGCCCTAGCTAGCAGCAAGTATTCTTCCATTTTAGTACCAGATGGTGCAGTTCTCAAGATAATGGCCTAAAATAATATTGTTTGATGGAACAAAGATTTGTTTGTTTTAATCAAATGTGACCAGTAATTGCCCTGCTCTGATTAACTTTTATTACGGGCAAGTACAATCAAAACAAGTTTCGTTTCTCTTTAAGGAAGACACAAGCATGAACAGTGCCAAAGTGAGAGGCTTTCTCCTGTGCTGATGAGGCAGGCTTGCAGAAACAACCATAAGAGCAAGGAGCTGCAATATTTCCTCCCAACACCATGGGCTCTTAGGGTAGGCAAACCCATTATATGAAAGTAGAAAACAATGTAAATAGTTATGGGCATGTTCATCAGTCTGGAAGAACATCTCTTTTTGCTTTGTCCTGGTTACTTTCAGAGCAGCCCTCATGACTTTATTAGGGAGCTTGGTGATATGTGGTGCCTTTTATAGAGAAGCTGAGCTGCGTATTGGATGAAAGCATAATCACTGCCTGCTATGTTCAATATTGCACTTCTAATTTTAACTCCACAATAGCTTTCAGATGAGACTTTGAAAGCTTTTGTATGCTGAATTTTAACACTAGGTTGGAGAAAAGAATTCACTCTGCTCTAACATTGAGGACTTTTTTAACCTGCAAATTGGCACACACAAAGTGTGTGTTCAGAAAAACTAATTAGAGTGTGGTCATGGTGGTCTGAGAAAAGGACTCAGCTTGGCTCGTCTTTTGTATAGTGATTTATGCAGTTGATCTTGTACCTTTATAAGGAATCGGATGCAACTACAGTGAAATCAGGTTATCCCAACTTCCTTTTATCTCTTTCTCATCTTGTTCTGCAGTTTAGCAAAGGAAATACCAACAGCAAGAAAAGTCTATGGAGGTCATATGCAGTCTTCAAACATGGTGTGAATATTTTTCCTACTCGTCTCTAGTGACTTTCCAGCTTTTGGAGAACTTCCTCAGCTGTTTGTTATAAACTCGTTGTCTTTGATTTGAAAGCATTTTCTGCTAAGAGGATAATGTTTTCTAAAAAATAGGTTGCTAGACAGTACCCCAAAAACTTGTGCAATTCAAGAGGTGAAATATTAAATTCTGTAATTTTATTATTATTTTTTCCTCAAAATTGAGTCATTTCAAAATTATCTAAACATTTCTGTTAACACCCTACTGTCTTGTTTTCTGTGGTTCAGTCTAGTGAAGCTTTTCTTCAGTAACTGCATTTCTCTTGGTTGAGGCCTGGACTTATAGTGTTGCAGGTGCAGAAAGGTTTCTTAGAGGTGCCAGAGACTTGAGGCTTGGCTTGCCAGCTTCAGTAATTGGCATTCCTGGGTTTCCTTTTTTTTTTTTGTAGCTTTTATAGGACACATTCTTTTAGCCCCGTCTTAAAAGTATTCTCGTAATGCACATGGGGGTATAGAAAGCATGTAAGACTAGTATCAACAATGGAAACAAATTTGGGGTGCATTAGTAGTGTCTACCATCAATCAGTAGGCAAGTGCAGTAGTAATTCTTCACAGCTGAAAGGAAAGAGGTGAGGGATGTGAATTACTCACTTGCATAAGGATCAAAGCTATCAGCAGAATTTGTTATCAAGAAATCCTTTTTCTCGTCTAAACTAGTGGCCCCTCCTTTACAGTCAGAATTGTGAAATAACCTCATTAAAGCAATTCTCGAGCCAATTTCATAAGCGGTTTAAACAAATCGCATACATTAAACTGCAAATGAATGTGCAATTACAGAATTGTTGCTTGTAAGTGCTGTGCTTTTTGCGGGCCTTTTGGCTGTCGTGGTCGCGCGTAATGACAGAGTTGGTGCGCGGCGCCCGCGAGATGAGGCCGAGTTCAGGGCCTCGTGGCACAGTCGCTAACGAGCGTGAGGCTTCGCTGCAGACCGGGAGGGAGCAGGCCCTGAGCGTGGGGCACTGCAGCCCCTGCTCTGCCCTCGCCCCACACGGTGCGCGCACGGCTGCACTGAGGAAAGCAGAACTGCTCCAGGTTCCTTTGGGAGGCTCCCGGGCTTACATGCCAGTAACTTGGGGCACCTAGGTGTGCTCATCTTCCCCCTCCACAGCGGTGACATTCAGACCAGCAGCAGTAGAATCAGCGTGGCTGGTATCACAGGACGTGTGGGCAGGCTGCCGGGGTGACAATGCATAATCTCGCATTAGGAAAAGTCTGAAATGACAGGTCTGTTATCTCTTTTGAAAGGCTATTATTCTTTCATGGTTGTCCCTATGCTCCTTAGAGCGTATTATCCGGTGCTTCACAGAAACAAAACACGACGTGCTCTTGACAGGTAGGCAACAATTGGAATACTGGATATTTGCAGCTGGAATACTGGATATTTGCAGCTGGAATACTGGATATTTGCAGCTGGAATACTGGATATTTGCAGCTGGAATACTGGATATTTGCAGCTGGAATACTGGATATTTGCAGCACTTTCTGCTGTTGCGGTGTTGCCATTTCAAGCTTTCTGCAGCCGTGTGTTTCCTTGGAATACTGATGGCTGCTCCTTGCTCATGCCCATCCTCTCCAGCTCTGTATGTATCTTTGCCCTGTAACTGGGAGCTGCCCTCCCTTGCAGGAATGCTAACCACTGTCCTTGCACCCGCAGAGAGGGCCCTCGTCGGGGACGGACAAAGTGAAGAAGGGTGGATCCTACATGTGCCATAAGGTAACATGCAAAGGGCTGCAGCAACTCACGGGCCTGGCTGGAGGGGGGTTCGCATCTGCCGCTTTCTACTGTGGTTTGCATTTTTTGGCTGTCATGAGACTAAACTGAAGGAAATATTTGGCAACTAGTTCTTAATAGGAATTGGACACTTCACAAGAACTCAAACACTCTGCAGAAAAGCTATCCAGATGCTTGTATTGCTTGAGTAATCATTGCTAATTGCCCTCTGGAAAGGGACTCAGATGTCTCTTGGGGCAATGAGGAGTTAACCTTTGATACTGATCCCCAGGAAAAATGAAGCTTCTTTAGCTCTTGTTTCAGTTGAATGGGAAACTGAAAGCTACTTCCGTGGTGTTCTGTTTTTTCAGCAAATTCCAGTTCTAGCCCAATGTAGATTTTATATTGTATGGAGCTCAATATAAAACTTGGTGTAAAAGACAGCTGACCTTTTATTAGCTGAAAGCACAGATGTGATGACCTAGAGCCATGCCACCTTGCTTGACACAGAGACCTAGAAAATAACACATGTTTTGATGCAAACTTTAATTCACTGCAGACTTTTAAACCTAAAACTTCTGAAGCTGGATCTAAATGCACACTTGAGACGTGTCCTCTTTTTGCAGGACAGTTCAGACAATATGACAAAGTGTCATTTCTTCCCACATAGTATGTTCCAAACAGGCTTTAGAGTGCAGTGTATTCAGTCTTAGACTGCTCCTTCCCTTTTTTAACAGCACAGAGAATTTATTTTCAATTAAGAGTTTATAGCATGCACGTAAGAATTTGAAAGTATGAAACTTAGATATTTGGGGTTTTCTGACAAGAACAAGAGGAAATGTGGAAAGCACTTCTCTAACAGACCAGTTTGCTTAAGGAAAAATAATATGTTTCTTACTGCTGAAAAGGTTTACATTATAAAAAAAGCAGATTCAGAAGTAACATGGTAATGATGTTATGAAGCTAACAGTAATACTAACTGTATTTTCATATTGATCTTTCCTTTGAAAGTACATGAGCTGACAATTAAGTGATGCTGTGACAGTTTCCTGAGAGCCTGTGTGCTTGTTAAGGGTTTCCTGCAACTTAAGAGCAATGCCCAATTTTCTTATGGTTGTGTATGCATTAGTGTTTTTCTTTTATTATTTACTAAAAATTTATTATTATTTATTATTTACTAGAAAAAAATAAAGTGCTTGGAGAAACACTAATGGGAGATAAAGTTTGCAGCTTAGTGGAGGTTGGGCTTTACGTTCTTCCTGAAAATTATTAAATGCCACCACAGTGTAGCTTTTGAAGTGGGAAAAACCCACCCAAAACAACATCTTGTGGGAAAACCACAGGATAGGTTTTGCGAAGCTACCTGAATAAACATAAGCTAGGTTTTAAACTCTGGTCAGGCTGTAATGGAAAAAAATGCTCACTGTATCTGCTTTTTCATTAAAACTCTCCTGTTCTTTTTTCTGTGTTCAAGGCCTACAGCTTATCCTCTTCATAATTAGATTAAATTTTCTACAGCAAGATCCCATTTTCTACACTGATTTCCTTCTTGGGTGAAATCAATGTCAGATGTTAATTAGCAGTTTTGATTAAATTAACTCTGGAATAGACTCTTTGGTGATGAATAATGTGACCCATTTTAAAGACATCTAAAGATTCTAGTCTTTCCGAGTCTTTTTTGTAGGTGATAAAAGTAGGCTGTAAATCAAGATACAAGATATCCCTGGCTATTACTAGTACAAGGACTTTTCATCAAGTGCTGAAAAATCTATTTAGGTTTTTTGGTGCTCTAACGTCCTAGAGCTGACAAAGGCTGAAGTCTGTAGCTGCTGTAACACATCTTGACTTCTGTTTTCAAGACAGTTGGCCTGCTAAAGGTTGCTAGAGGGCAAATGTGTGCTCACATGTGTCACTGATGGTGACAGGAAACACGGTTGCTGATGAGCAGCAGCTGCTCTCAGGCTTTGCATTGGGATGCGGTGAAAAAAAGGCCTTTAAACAACTGCTTAGGTGGAGATAGTTTAATGGAGACAACACTGGTGACCTGCCACCCCTGTGTGGCTCATGCTGAGGTGAAGTGGCAGTCTGAGTTGTCACCCTCCTCGGGGTTGTAGCCCAGCTCGATTTAAATTTGAGGGGAAAAACCCTCAAATGCAGCCCTCCCATCCTCTCTGCAGCCTCCCTCCAAATGTGTGAGGTGGCTGCAGTGTTTGTCAGAGCCAGGCCCTGCAGGGGTGGGAGCGGGGATGAAGGTGGGAGCGGGGATGAAGGTGGGAGCAGATCCCGGGTGGTGACTTATGATGGGGCTGCTGCTGAAAGGCTGGGGTACCAAATTCTGCTTGGATTGGTGAAAGTACTGGTGTGACCGTCCTGCTTCAATGCCACGGTGGGTTACTGCCTCCAGGGAGCCTGGCTTGATGCAGCAAATGTTTAAAATTGTTTTGTTTGTTGCAGTGTTTGGAAACTATCATTCTCAATTTTGAAGAAATACTGCTCAGAACTGTTTACTAGGAACACTTAAAATGCAGCTGAATCATCCTTCTATTTAAAACATACCTGTTTTACTTGTGACCCACCAGTACAGATTTTATTGTTAGCAAAACCTTGATTCAAATTAATATTTTTCTGTAAGGAAGCACAAGCTGTATCACGCTCTAAGCTTATTTTTCCTCCTTCCCTCCCTCTTCCCTCTCCAGTCTTATTGCTATAGGTATCGCTGTGCAGCCCGCAGCCAAAACACTCCCGACAGCTCTGCCTCCAACCTGGGTTTCCGCTGTGCCGCGGACACGTAGCCGGGCCCGCAGCACCCGGACATCCCGGACGGACGGAGGGTGCACAAGGAGGAGCTGCCCCTGCCCTGAGAGAGAAGGGGAAAAGCCGAATGCTCCAAGCAACTGCGGGGTGGAACTCTGAAACAAATCAATATTACTTGAAGAAACTTGATGTATTTATTTTTGGGGAATTGGGCTTGGGTTCTTATCTCCATGGAACTTCTTATCAGTGAATACTGTTGGTTTCAGCAGGACTGTTCTGGAATTACACTAGCTCAAAATAGGAGAAATAAGCTTCTAGGCAGCTTTAAAAGACACTTAAAGCACAGTTACTGCCTTGGTAGCCTCCTAGGAGGTGTAATTATCCACTGTAAGAAGAGGTCTGTCTTCCAGTGTTCACAACTACCAAGACATGAGCAGTGTAGAAACTTGTATTACATTCTGCTGCAGTGAGAATCTTATCCAGAAATCTATGTTTTTTGGTGAGCAACTTGCTTTTTCAAAGTGCCTTCTGCAACTGAGGGATGGTAATGTTGTACCAAGCATTTATCAAGCATTTATTAATGCTGGAGACCTTGCTGGACAAGACACCTCCTCCAAATTTCTCTTTGAAACTGTACATTTATTTTGGACTGGAAACAATCACTAATATGACCTCACTAGAAATTAGGGCTAACTCATGGCTCTACTTGAATGGAGGACTGTAAAAATAGAAAGATAGGAAATGTAGCTAATTGTGTACATGAAAAATGTGCTGTATATTAATAGAATAGTTGCATTATTGCACCTAACTCTTGCAGTATTGCTTTTTCTACACCAATGCAGCATGGGGTCAATACAAATGTATTGCTTATCAACTGCTTTTCCACTTAAATAGTGCATCATGTTAAAAGAAGGTTATTGGAGAAGGCTGAAGAAGCACTTTTGCAAAAATCAGTCTCTATTAGGGAGTTAAATTAATTTCAGCAGAAAAAAAGTGATTCATTGAGGTAATACAGAAAGAATTTTCATCCTTTACTTTATAAAAAGCTCTATTTATGCCCCAAGAGTATGTTTGCTTTCATAAAGATTCTACTTACTTTGTTTTCCTTCATATTCTGGAAGGAAAAGAAACCTAAAATCCTACAATTCTGTATACTGTAAAAGTGGTATGGGTTTATCTTAAACAGCTCTGGTGATGCTGCCCTTCAGGATCAGTGGTCTCGGTCAAGGATCCCGGTGCTGCAGGTGGTTGGTGGTGGAGAGCTTGCCGGGGCTTCCACGGACATGGCTCCATGTGCTCCGCTTTGAATTATGATTGCTTAATATTTGAATACAAAATATTTAATTAAACCTTTTGAATTAATTTCAAGGGGTAAGTAAAATCTCCCACTTGTGGTTTTTAATATTTTCCATTGTTTTTATTTGAAACTATTCATAATACAAAATACAAACTGTTCTTTCTAAATTGGTTGTTATTTCTCTCAGATCTTAACAAGTCCAAATACTCTCTGTAAGGGAGGACTATCAGACCATTTCTTAAATGGCAAATGGTTGAAATAAATTTCTACAGCAATAACAAAAAATGCTGTATCTGTCCTTCGAGATGTTTTTATTGAGAAAGAGCACGTTGAAGTGATCAGCAGTGTAGCAGTAGACTGAGTCTGTGCAGATCTGAGAGGAAAAGGTGAGCAAATATGAACAAGAGCCTATTTCCTTTTTTCTTTTTCTTCTCTGATAGGATTTCTGCTCCATGCCCCAAGCAGCTGTAGTGCTAAGAACAAGCAAGGTGACTGTTATGCAATGTATACAGCATGTGGAAAACTGCCATTGTAGATTGCTTTGAAGATTAAGAATTCAATGACAATATTTCATTTCATGTTCTAGCAAAGCCTGTAATATGGCTGGCTGCTTTTAACAGTACAAAAGTCTTTTTGTTACTTTATATAATCTTTTTTCTTTTTCCTTACCATGTAATTGATATTCAGCTCACTTCCTAGGAAAGAGCTGTGCCTGAAAGGCTGGAATTGCAGAGACACAGGGCTCAGTTCCGTTCTCAGGTTTAAGGCTGGTGATGCGAGGACTAGATATGGCTAATGGCATTTGGGAGATGTTCTCTTATGTTTTCATATTGTTTGCAATCGGTACTTTCTCAACTACTCAGGCCCAGATCACATTCATAACAGGAAGATTAAAAGAATACTGCTGTAATCTTGTAAAACCTATCTAATCTTGAGGAATAGGAATACAAGTGCTGTAAAACTAGTTTTAAAATAATTTATAAGAGGGGAGAAGAAATTAAATCGTCCACTCCCAAATGTGCAGGCTGAAAGTGACTGGCACAGAGCCCCACTGGCGGAGAAAACCAGATAAACCTCTAAATAGGATAACAGATCTTGAAATTTATATTCTGGAACCTGATAGAGCCTACATTCTAAGAGGCAGGAGAACTTCTGTAGTAACAGCCAGGTTCAGTCAGGCAAAGAGTAAAGTTACTGGCTGCTGCTCTTGTAACCAGTACTTTTAACAAACAGCTGGAGCCCTTTGGAAGCTTTCTGTGCCTATAGAGGGGACAGGTAATGATTCAACTAGAGCAGGACCCTGTAGCAAGCTTTAACTTAAACTACAGCATAGCACATGTCTCAGTAGCAATTCTTCATATCAGAAATAAAAATATATTTATTAAAGGAGGGACAGACGATGTCCAAGCCTATCAAGGAAGTATAGGGAAAGGCAGTTTAGCAAAATAAAAGCAGCCACATTTCCCATAGCTCTTAGCAGGATCAAGTTAATCTTTGTGTTTCAAATGAATTTTCTTTCAAAAAAAAAAATGTTGCTTGCTTGTTTATAGAGCAGATGATTTATTTTGGCTCTCCAGATGTGGTAGCTTGTGTGTATATGTTAAATAGTATGTCTGCAGTTAAAGATTAAATCGTACAAAGTGGCTAAATCAAGGACTCTTGCCACTGATGGAACTGCATGTGACAATATTGTAAAAAAGCAGCCATTGCCATTTATCTGTGTCTTGTTCATGAAAAATTTAAACAAGCCTGTTTGAAGTTTCTTTAATTTGGTATTTTTAGAAAGGAAGTTATGTAACTTGTAATTTCAGGACTTCTTAATCAGGCAAGCTATCTTAGGTATTTATCTTGAAACTATAGCTTTTAGGCAATATAAAAGAACAGTGGTTAATTCTTCCCAAGAGATTGTTAGCTTGTATTTTGAATACAGCATCTCTTCTGCCTCCTGGTGTAAGGGGACTTAGACTTACTGCGTTAGGTGAAGTGGACGTGTCGGATCTGTACAAGAACAATGAAGATGTAACAATAACCTTCTCAGGCTTCTGGCAAAGCAGAGCCTCCTGCTTAACACTGTTTGGCTTTAGAAATAAAGAAAACAAATTATGAGCTGAAAGGAACTCTTGTATCTACCAGCTGCTCAACAGTGCAGGAACAGAATTTTGTTGTTCAAATGTACTTCATCTTTTAGTACTCGATGATTTCATAAGTCAGACAGGCAGTATCTTACTCGTTCAGATTAGAGTCCAAATTTGTTTCCTGACAATTACAGTGCTGGAAATTACCGTGGAAGTGCTGCTTGCTATTACCGCAGAAAATGTTATTAGATGAGTCCTGAAATAGATGTGTTTTAAAAAGGTGAGATGACTGTTTAACAGCCCATGGTACTGCGCAGTTTACACAGGAGCTAAATGGTAATGAAACCAAATGTTGGTAAGCAGATAGTTGTGCCTAGAGATGGAAGAGGGTGAAAAGCACTTACGTTAATCTGACATCACTAAGCATTAGTTATTTGTGTTGTGGTGCACAAAAGATTATAGCAATTCATTTTAAAATATAATTTCATTTAATAGAATTTAAGAATCCTAATACCTTTCTTGCAAATGCCAGTATTTCATTGTCTCAAGCTCTTCCCTGTAACTTTCAATTATTTTTCTCATTGACTTTATATGTCCTTTCTTTGTTGGAAGTTCTTTTTTCAAAGATGCAGTATAAGTTGACAGAAGAAAACAAGGTAACAGCACCAAGCATGGGTTAGAAACTGATTCTGCTTTGGAACAGCTTGAACCTGTTGTGCCCCCTTGAAACTTGAAAACACCTTAAAAACAGAGCTTCCATCTTGAAATTCTTGAAAACCACCTTTAAACAGAGTTGTTAGGACACTGCATGAAGACCTTCTCAAACTCCAAGGCTTTTATTTGCTTTTATTCAAAACCACAAGCATGTCCCTGATACTGCTAGATTACACTGCTTCTGCCAACCAATGTTCCTCTCTTACTGTTTAGCAGGATGGCTTAAAGTACTACTGTGCAGCTGTGGTAGGTTTGGGGTTCCCACCTTGCACACATTTCAACTTCAATATTCAGCTGTCACCCTTCTGTGGCATAAAGGTTGAATTTTCTGCTTTTGTACTTCAATGGATGCAAAAGGAAAGAAATCTAGCAGGTAAGTGTGTAAAACTAGAATGTACATGTTAATTTTCAAAACCGATATCCTCACTAGATGATTATCTGGGTTGTGTTTAAGAGCTGAGTGGAATAACTCTTCGTTGAGAAAATGTATCCTTAGTATAGCTCTTGCATGCATCTACAGCAAGCAGAGTCCTTGTTAACTGCTGTTTAAATGGTAAGGAGATCTGCGCTTGTTAGTGCCTGCTCAGGGATGGAAAAGCTATGAAGAGCTCTCTGGACAAGTGTCAGGTGTGGAAAAGAGGGAGCTGTCGCAAGGCAAGAAGGAGGTGCATGTGCGGGCTCCACAGTAGCAGGGCTTTTTTGGCATGTTACCCTCCTCTGAAGTTTCTGGCACTCTGTTGGTTACTGGCATATTGTGGAATCTTCCCGAATAATCATAGGAAAGTTCTTCTCCAGGAGAAATATCAGTGGCTGCAAAAAGTGCCAGTCTAGGCACCATTGAGTCAACTCGGACTGGCACCATAAATAGGTTGGGTTCGCAGGAGTGATTCAGGAACCTCCCGACGTTCCCGATGTACGTTGGGTCAATGAACGTCTCCAGTATCTGGCCACTGTGGAGATGCTCCCTCACTGCTATAATGTAGTTTGAGTCCTCGGGTGCCTGGGCCTGAATTCTCCTTCGTGCCTCGTTAACACCCAAAACTTCCCCCGCGTATTCGCACACGAATCTCCCCTTGGCTATGAATTCCAGGGTGCGCAGACCCCAGCCTTTCCTTGCGGTCTGGAAAACCTGGAGCCTGAACTGCAGCCCCCGCTGGACGAGCCTGTTGGGGCAGGAGTGTCCGCAGCGGCACAGGGCGCTGCACTCGAACACAGGCCTGGCAAAGCCCCGCTCGTCCTCCGTGGGCCCCAGGCACAGGCCGCGGTAGTTGTCCCCATGGCGCAGGCAGGAGCACGCGGGATGGGCGCAGGAAAGGCAGGAACACCCGGGGAAGGCGATTTCCGTGGGGTCGAGGGCTCCGTCCGCTCCGGCCACGTTCTCTGGGCTGTACTGGGAACACGAGGCAAACCAGTGAATGGCCCTTAATCAATGGATTGATTCATGGTTGTTATTACAGAAACACCAGACTACTTCTCATCGAGAGCCACCTCTCCAGGAAGGTGTGAGGAAAGGCTGGCACCCGACGTGCGGAGGAGTTTGGGTTAAACATTTCAAGGTGCGAGGCAGGAAGCCCCCCTGCTGATGACGCCGCAGCCACGTTAAATTCCCGGTAACTTCAGTAAATTTCCCCGTAGTTTTTATTACAGCGACGCAGCCCCGTGCCCGCGCGGGAGGGGTTCGCGCGGCTCCGTGGTCTGGGCCAAACTGGCTCCGCGGGGCCAGGGCCGCGCTCGGCTCCGCGGGGGGGGGGGGCGCCCTACCTGGAAGGGCGGCGCGGCCGCGCCCGGCGCCCAGCTCGCGAGCGGCTCCAGCTCCGCCGCCATCGCGGCGGCGCCGGCCCCTCGTGCCCATTGGCTGCGCCACCCTAGAGAGGCACCGCCGCCTCGTCCCCATTGGCTGTCCCGCTCAAGAGAGGCACCGCCGCCTCGTCCCCATTGGCTGCGCCGCGCACTGCTGCGCGTGGGCGGCGGGAGGTGGCGGCAGCTGGCGCGGTGCCGGCCGGCGCCGCCATCTTGCGGGCTGCCTCCTCTGTGGCACTTTGCCTCCCGTTCATAAGCGCACCCCAAGCTGAGCAGTTTCAGCGGGGCTCACCTGCTTTATCTGCTCTCTGTAGAGACAGTTCACTGTGCTTTTTCACTTGTCCCGTTTGACTGTCCGTGGTTAACTTACTGTTTCCCACACAGCCCTGTGCGTGGCCGCAGCCCTGCCATGCAGCCGGCAGCGCGGGCCTTGCTGCACGTGGTAACAGGGCCGGGCGGCTGCAGTGTCCTCAAAGGCCGCGGAGCCGCCGAGGTCGGGCCTGGCGGGGCTCGGCGAAGCGCGGCCTCGGGGTGAGGCTGGCGAGAAACCTCGGGCGCCTTCCTGGCGCCCCAGCTCTCGGGATGACCCCGTGGCGTAACGCGTCCCAATGCGGGACAGCACTCGGTAATGGGAGCGTCTCCGCGCTCCCTGTGCGTGTTTTCCATCCCCAGTCAGCACCAGGAGCCACAGATGAGCTGCTCGGTTTAGGAGGCAAACAGGTTGTGGTTGCAAAGCCTTGGTGCACGCTCGAGCCCTGAACAACGCGCTTTCCATCTGTGTGTCTGTCTCTCTCTGCATGTCTGTCCCCCTGCTGCAGTTACTGACCGATGTGTCTGTTTTCTCCAACTCCCAGTAAAAGGAACGAGGCTTCTCCCACCTGCCTGCAGAGAGGAGCCAGGCAGCACCAGGACAGGCAGGGGTAAGGCTGGACGGCTAGACTGCCAAGCCCCGCTTTACAGCTTGAGCCGTTAATGCGGCTAACAGACAGATAGGGAGATAACCAACAGCCTTTTTTTTCCCTGCCTTTTTTTTCTCCCTTTTTTTTTAATAATAGCAGTCTAAGAGAATGGAAGGCACAGAAGAGGAACTTAGAAGGGCAGTGCCTCCTAGTGTCTGTTCAGTGTAGTTTTGGGGTAGATTCTGGGTGGTTTTAAACCTGTATCCGTACACTTTGATTCAGGTAATGCACCTGTGGCATCAGTGCTTCATACTTGAATGGAATGAAAATGGTAAAGGTCTTTATATAACCAAATCTAGTCCCTCTCTGACTACCAGAACAGAATTACAGCTGTTTCCTGTGGATGCTTCCAAGCCCTGCCTTCCTGGGATCCATCCTTGGACTCTGCGAGTGCTGCTTCTTGTGGGAAAAGAGGGTGGAACAGTTTTGAGACAAGCACTGAAATGTTGAGTAACTGTAAATATTAAACTATGTTTCATTTATGTAGCTTTGGGCTCTCTTCTATTATCAAATCAAATTTTAGATTGAGACACGCATAATTTGGCTGCTAATTTTTACTACCAGATGGAATTCTTTTCTATTTAAAAAAAAAAAAGTCATGAGTCATTACTCTGTAGTAAAAGAAACAGACTGCTTACATGTACAGGAGGTGGTGTTCTCAAAATCAACAAAAAGTCATGGAAAAATCAGTGTTTTCTTCCTTCTCCTACCCCAGGTTTCTATAGCATTGAATTGTGAATGGGTTGCATTCCTGAGATGTCCAGATTGAGTGAAGAAATGATGAAATTCTAATTTACTGTATATAAAATTGTTATTGAAGGAAAGCAAGGAAGTCCAGAATGGAGCTGGAGGAGTGAACTGTGTGTGAACTCCGTAATGCTGAACTAAGGCAGCTGGTGCAGCTGTAGAATTTCTTTTGCATCTGTGCTGTCCCCGTGATGGGACTATATGCATCGCTTTTGTTTGATATGATGTACATATTTAGCTGTTGGGTTTTCTCCCTGTGTAAATGAGTGCTTCCTGCCTATTAATCACTTTTATGGCTGTTTTCTGCAGTTTCTCAGATTTGTTAATATCTTTCTGGTAATGAGAGGTTAGGAGGTTGACTGTGCCTGGAACTGCAAATTCATTTCAGAGCTGTCTTCTTCACTGCCTGGTTTTCTGGGCTGATACCTTATGTTGTAGCAAGGTGGTGGAGCTCAGATGGGATGTGTGCAAGCCTGTGGTTCATCATGCTGCAAATAAGGGAGCTGCGCTCATGTGACTAACAATAAATCTCTGAACAAGTCAGATCTTTGTGTATTTTATGGTAGCCAGAAGGCTCTGGACTTGCAGTCAGTGATTATTTGTCTATTAATGTGCCTGGAGTCATTAGAGGAATGCCAATTGGAAAGGGGCTGCTGCTGGTGACCTAGTCCAGCCTGTGCTTGAAGTGGGAGTTTTTTCAACCTGAGATCAGGTCAGCAGTGGCTTTATTGAACCAAGCCTTGAAAAACTCCAAGGAGTGAGATTCCACCAGACCCAGGGCTGTACTGTCCTCCTCCTTGGAGAGGGTGTCAAACCTAAATCTCCTAAGCTGCCACGTGTGGCCTTTGTGCCTTGGGTGTCGCATGTCGCTATGGAGAGGATTTTTGTTCTTTCATTGTCTTTGCCCTTCAGGGAGTTGTGGGGTGCTATTACCTGTCCAGTAGTGTCCTCATTGTCAGCATAAGCAAGTGCACCTCCCTCAAACTGTTACTGTGGGTGTATACTTAATCTTATGACCATCTAGGTAGCCTCTTGCTGGATCCTCTCCATTTTTTTTCTATATTTTTTGAACTAGTGGACCCCAGCCTGACTGCAGCTTTTGGTGCTGCCTCACCCCTGCCAAACAGTCATAATAACTTCCCTTGATTCATCCTCCTCCTCGTGTAGCCCAGGGTGGGGTCTGCTTGGCAGTTTGAGCGCGCACTTGGCTCATATTCAGCCTGGAGTCCCTTGTCAGCCCTGATGCTTTCAGAGGGACTGCACTTGGTCAGTCAGTTCCCTCTCTGTGCTGGTGCTTGGGGATGCTCTGCCCCGGCACGTGCTTGCACTAGTCTCGTGTTTGGACTGTTGGAGTATTTTATGTCTCAGGGTTGCCTTGATGTTCCCCCAGCAGGTTGATACTCTGTGCAGGATGGCCCCTTCAGCTGGCGATTCCACAACATTAAGAAGTTGCCTGCTGTAGAAACAGAAGATGTTCAGAAGGTCTTTAAATAAAAGAACCTATAAAGATTCTCAAAACTTCAGAGTTCCCTTCAGAACTAATCTCTGGAAGAGTAAGGTTTTCCTTTTTAGTGTATCTTTTTACATTGCACTTGGTTGTTGTCTGCCTTTGTTCTGAATTCAAGCAGTTTTCAGATATCTAAACTTGCTATTTTCCCTTAAAAAGAAGTATATCTCCCTTGTGATATACTGCAGATGTTTTCTGCAGGGTACTTAAAATGCATCTTAATCCATGGTATGGAACTTGTACAGCCTAAAGGACAGAATTTGTTAGCTGATTTATCCATGCTTTCTTCAGGCTGTGTTTTCTTCCTTTCCAGTTATCTTTATTTACTCCTTTTCTTACAGTCTCTTTTTTCTCTATGACCTGCTCTTCTTTTCATGTTGCGTTTGTATCTTCCTTTGTGAGTTGACCTTCACTTCTGGATGATCGTGTCCATCAAGTTAGCAGCCTTGTGCTCTTTATCCCTCTGCCAGACTATTGTGCACCTATTAGAATATTGATCTGTAGAGAGTAGAGTATAAAAAATCAATACCCCATTAAATGGAGTAGAGTGACAGTGTCTCTAAGGCTGATCAAATGCAGAGAGTAGTGTCTAGACACTAAGAACATCCCCCATCCGTTTCCCTCATAGCCTTGGCTAGGCAGATAAGATAAAACATTTGCATCCTGTTATAAACTAATTCATGTGCATTATAACTTGGAGATTCATTACAGACAAACAAGTTTTGAAAACTGTCAGCAGTGCAAAGAAGCACTCTGATGTATTTTGGCAGCTGCAGTTTAGTGTTATTTAGGCAGTGTAAGCCTCCAGAGCAGCAGAATATTAAATGATCTGTGATGTACTTAGGCAAGATATATAGATATGAGTAGTTACACCATTATCTCCTCTTTGAATGCTTACAGACTTGTGGAAAGACCAATTGTAAAGATTAATTTTTTTAGTGGTTCAACATGCATGGATCACCTGTATGTGGTTTGCCTCTCTTCTGTCTGCTCTTGTTCCCTGCACCCTAACATTCCATTGTGAGATAGGGGATCAAAACATATATAATAATTTTCTGTTTTCTACTTTTGAATCTTGTCCACTGAGAACAATCCACATTTATTTTAAAATCTGTTATTTGTTCGTAAGTCCTGTTCATATCCATAAACTTTCTTCACGCGCTAGAGCAATGTCCTGTTTTCTTTAAGAAAGGTATTAATGTGGTCTGCTAATTGCTCAGCTAGGAAGCTTGTTCTTGTACGTTTTGCAGCTTGCTTTATTTATGCTTTATAGCTTGTAAAGTGCATGGAAGTACTTTATGGGCTGGGAATTTGAAATAATGAGGGGCTGCAGTCCTGAAGCAGAGCGCTCAGCTGGCAGCCTGCCCCTGTCTGCAGGGCCGGGCTCATTATCCGTGAGTCACCCCGGCCCTCACTGGCTTTGCAAGATGGACTTTGAGGGTCATCCCTGAGCCCCGGGGCTCCTGCTGGGTGAAACCGTGTCATGCTGTGTGCTAATGAGCCGGCTAAATGTTCCATAAGTAAGTGGATGCTGGAAGAAAACGTCTGGTAATCATATTTATAAATCCAAAGTAGGAGAAGCTGAAGATGGCGTGATTTAAGTATGCCTCAGCTGTGCAAAGAAGACTGACCTTGGAAGATGCTGTGTTTAAATAGTGTAGTTTATCAAAATATATCAAAGTGCTTTACTAAGATTGGTGAACTTTGCTTTCCTTGTTTTACAGATTAAAGCAAGAGCTGAGGCAGAAACACACAGAATGAGTTGATCAGTGGAAGAGCTAGTTCTCTTGGTTATCACAGATTGTTCCCTG